AGGCCAAGAGGCCCTGTTGTTTTGGTCCCTGATGGTGCCCGTCCCCCCCCCCCCCCGAGCTGTGCAGGGAGAGGTGGTCTTGCAGTGGGATGAGGGGCAGGACCTGTGGTTTTAGAACCTCAGGGCTGCTGCAGGGCATTCAGCCGTCATCTCCTGTCATCTCCGCAGGGAGAGAGAAGCCAGCCTCAGGTGCCAGGGAAATGGGGCCATCTTGCTACAGCTGCACCCTGGGGCCAAGCACAGAGGCAGCACAGCAGGGAGCCCATGGCTGTGTCTTCTTCTCTGGACAGAGAGGAGGAAGGTGCACCCCAGCTTAGGGAGAGAGAGAGTGTGCACGTGTGTGTGTGATTCAGGACCTGCTCTGGGCCGACATGGGCACGGCATGGTTCTGCTCCCTCAGGCTGAGTGTGGATGCAAGGCCAGAGACCAGGAGATTCTGCGCCCCATGGAGATACCATTGATCTGATGTCCAGACTGGCAGATGGAGGCTGCAGCATGCCGTCTTAGTCCATTCGGGCTGCTGTAACAAAGTGCCACAGCCTGGATGGCTTAAATAATGGAAATGTATTTCCTACAGTTCTGGAGGCTGGAAGTCCAAGATCAGGATGCCAGTGGATTCAGCATCTGGCGCTCCCTGGTTCATAGTATCTTCTCACTGAGTCCTCACATGGCAGAAGGGGTGAGGGAGCTCTCTGGGCCTCTTCTGTAAGGCACTAATCCCATTCCTTGAGGCTCCACCATCATGACCTAATCACCTTCCAAAGGCCCCACCTCCCAATACCATCTCAGGGGTTAGGATTTCAACATAAGAATTTTGTGCACCATAGCATTTGCGTTCAGCCCTAAACAGCAGGCAGCATATCTTCCTGCGTGTGTGGGTGCGTGTGCGTGTGTATGCGTGCGTGTGTGTGTGTGAGTGTGAGAGAGAGAGAGAGAGAGAGAGAGAGGAGAGAGGAGAGAGAAAGGAGAGAAATGAACCAAGCCAGGGGTGTGTATGGGTTGATGTGGGTGTAGGGGACCTCGGCATGGTGGTGGGTGGGAGTGGGTTGGCTGGGACCACCTCATGAAGGAGGGTCTCACTTGCCTGGCCAGGAGTTGGATTTTTTTTTTTTCCCCGTCTTTTTTTTTCGTGACCAGTAACGAGATCGCAACCCTCAGTGTCGCGCCCGCACCGCGCTCAACCAGTGAGTGGACCGGTCTCTATATGGGATCCGAACCCTCGGTGGGAGCACCGCCACGCTCCCAAGCGCTGCACTCTACCGAGTGAGCCACCGGGCCGGCCCTAGGAGTTGGATTTTTTCAGTAGAAAGGGGCTGCCCGTGACACTTTGGTGCAGCCACATTCAGAGAGCGCCCTCTGGTGGCTGTGGGGAGGTTGGTCCTGAGCCTGGAGTCGGGTGAGAGACAGACAGACAGACAGTGAGAGGGTGGACACTGGGAAGGAGGAGCCCTGAGGCTGCAGAGAGGCCAAGTGGGTAGCCCGTCACACTTTGGTGCAGCCACATTCAGAGAGCGCCCTCTGGTGGCTGTGGGGAGGTTGGTCCTGAGCCTGGAGTCGGGTGAGAGACAGACAGACAGACAGACAGTGAGAGGGTGGACACTGGGAAGGAGGAGCCCTGAGGCTGCAGAGAGGCCAAGTGGGTGACGACACCCTCGATAACTGCAGAAGTAATCACTGCCATTTTGTAAGTATTTAGTGTTTTGCAAAGCTCTGAAGTGCTTTAGCTTATATTTCTCATGACACCCCTAAGAGATAGGTGTAGTTATTTTTCATCCCCCTTGCACAGATGAGGAAACTGAGGCACAGAGAGGTTGAATACTTGCCTGAGGCCATGTTGGGAGACCATATTTCTCATGACACCCCTAAGAGATAGGTGTAGTTATTTTTCATCCCCCTTGCACAGATGTGGAAACTGAGGCACAGAGAGGTTGAATACTTGCCTGAGGCCATGTTGGGAGACTGGTGATGGGTGTGGGCCGTGAATCCAGGGTGAATCCAGGGCTCGAGTCCGGGCTTTGACCCTTGCTCCTGCTCGCTCCTCTCTGAGCCTGCAGGTGCAGGAGGGACAGTTCTGACAAGTTGCTTGGAGGAGCTCTGGGCCGGTGGTCCCAGGATAGCAGTCTAGAAGTTCCAGGCTCAGGAACGGGTGGCTGGATGCTCACCTGGGTGGGGCAGGGGGCTCTCCCTGTCTGTACTCCCCTGGTGGTGTCATTTAGTCTGTGGCTTTAATACCACCAGCTCAACCCCAAGGTTCTGTCTCTAGCCAGGGCCTCTTTGGTGGCCCCACCTGGATGCTTAGCTGGCTTCTCGACCTTGATGTGCCCCAAACAACACTCCTGACCTTGTCCCGAGGCTTGCTTCTGCGGTTTCCCTCTCTGTGAACAGTGACCTCTGCAGCCCCTGGTTAGTCAGGCTCAAAACCTTCAGCCTCTGTTGGCCCCCCTCCCTCTCACACCCTGACACCGGCAGCAGCTCCCGTGGGCTTCACCCTCCAGATCCTTGCCGGTCTGAACACAGCTTGCCAGTTCCTCCACTGCTGCCGGTGCAAGCCACTGTGCCTTCTCTCCTGGCTAGCTGCAACTGCCTCCCGATAAGCCGCCCTGCTGGTCCCTGTGTGCCTTGTCTCCAGCAAGCCAGAGACCCTGTAACTATGAAGTCAGAACACATCACACCCCTGCTTGGAGCCCTGCAGTGTCTCCCATCCTGCTTGGAGTCAGAGCCCAAGTCCACGCGGGTCCACGTCCCTGCCTCACCCCTGCTCCAGGACCTCACCTCCTACGCCTTTGCACACGGGCTTTCTTGCTGCTTCTGGAAATGGCTGCTACACTCCTGCCTTGGGCCTTCCCCTGCCTGCTTCCAGCTTCTATGTAACCACAGCATCCAGTCAGGCACCCCTGATGTCCCAGCTCCCTCACCCCCCAGCCGCTCTTCCTGCAGCACATGTCGCTCCTGACCTACTGCACTTTTACTGATTTATCTCTGTGGTCTGCCCCGCCCCCTGCCCCCTGGAGTGTAACCCCCATGAGGGCAGGCACTTCTGCCTGTGGGTTCCCACCAGATGCTCAGCATCTGGATGGGGCCTGGAACTTCCATAGTTGACTCCATTAGACGTCTGCAGAATTCTGGGTTAGGCTTCCTATCAAGAGCTTCTGTTCAGTGCCAGCTACCACGCACCATGCTTGTCCTTCTTTCCAGCCATCTGCTGAGAGGCACTGCACTTAGCCCCATTTTACAGGGGAGCAGACTGAGGCCTAGAAAAGTCAGGTGGCTTTCCAAAGGCTGCACAGAGCTGCCGTCAGCTTGCAGGGTGGCTGTGGGTGAGCTTAGGAGCAGGTGCGGCTCAAACGATGACATTAATAAGAGCTAACCTGTTCTGGGCCCTCACCAGATGCCAGACGTGGTTCTTCCTGCTGCATGTTTGTTAGCTCATCTAATCCCCGCGTGCCTGTGAGAGGGAGAGGAGCTGTCACTCTTCTCCTGGGCATTGTAAGCACTGAGTTCTCTCCATGTATTATCCCCTCAAGTCTTCACAGCAGCCGGTTGATACCGTTTATTATCTGTATTTGCAAAGAGTCTGAGACACAGAGGATGTGCCACTGCCTAAGGTCACAGAGCTAGTGAGCAGCAGAGCTGGGATTTGAACCCAGGGTCCAGAGCTGTATGCCTCTGAAGGTGTTGTCCTGGCTTGAAGTCCTGTGGCTGCTCAGGAGCCCATCCTGTGAGGTTTGCCAGGGCAGTGAGATGCCGATTGCCTCTGGGGGCCTGGCAGAAGGTGCTTCTTGGAGCGGATGCTAATCAGAACACTCCTGACTTCTTCCCAGGGTGTGGGCTGCTCCTGCCCCATAAGCCCAGGGGTGCACCTGAGGCACCAGTACCAGGGACACCTGCAACTCAGAGATCTTCATACCAAATGCAGACATTCATCCCTCCTCTGAATCTCTGGATCACACTGGTCTTTCTGGAATGCTGGGCTGGGTCCAGCACCCTGCTAGTTCCCAGGAACAGCCGCTCACAGTCAAATTAGGGCTGCCCTAGTCCCGGCTGTGCCGTGTGCACCTGTGCAAGACCAGAGTCAGCAGCAACCCAGCCGCCTTGCAGGCCTCCTCGCCCACCGGGTGGAAAACTGCTCCGTCTGGCACAGGGTTGGTGATAATGAAACGCGGTGTGGTGAGACTCCCACGGGAGACTCCTGCAGAGCGCCCTGGTAAACATTCTTTCTTTAGTATTTTTAACTGGGAGAGAAGCTTAAGGTTCATGAGCGGCCTTCCAACCTGGGAAGAGCAGCAGGAACCATCCCAGGCATCCCCATGCCAGGCCTGGGTGGCCGAACCTTAAGGAAGGCTCTGGACGCTTCTGCTGGGGCATCCTCGGGACGGCACCAAGAGGCGCACTCTGTTTTCCTCCCACTCAAGTCACCCTCCAGTGTTCTGGATCACAGAAGGGAACAGAGGTGCCCCTTGCTGAAAGTTCACACAACCCCATGGACTGAAAAGTGAGCAGTCTGCTTTTGTCTGCTCTGACCCCTCTCCAAAAGGCCCTGGACCAGTCCCTCACCCTGGTCCTGTGGACCTTGGCCTGTGTGTCCCCCTGGGTCCTCCGGGGCGGGTGCCCTCTGGCTTGGCCTTCTCTTGCGTGCGGTGCCGATGCCCCTACCTTCTCCCACCTGATGCCTGGTCATTCAGGTCTCAATTCAAATGTCCCCTCATCTGAAGTTGCCCCTCCCCACTCTCCTCACACTGTCCTCTTCTGAGCACCTGGTACCACGTGGCATTGCCTTGTTTACCTCTCGCTCCTCCGTCCCCCCAGCGGGCTCCCTGGCTCTCTGTGTGATGAGTACTGCAGATGAAGGAGCCCCTTGTAGCCCAAAAGGCTGGGTCCACCCCAGGTTCAGCTGCGCAGGGATGGCACACAGTGAGGCGTAAGGCCACTGCCTCTGAAACATCAGAGTGTGTGGGGTCTGTGGGGGCGTGTCCATATGCAATTTAACCACTCTCCAGTGAAAGATGCGTGGCTTAATTCTGCCTTTTGGTCTTGCAAACATAGCTTGGAGAGTTCCGAGAAGTGGAAAATCCAGAGGCTGGTCCCTGCTGCTGTCTGGCTTCACGTGGCCCTTGCCTTTCCGTCCTTCTGCCAGCGGGTGGTGCCATAGCCACGCACGTTTACTTGGGGGCTCTAGACTTGTGATTCCTGCACGTTGCTTTAGAGTGATGGGTTTTGGGGGTAGGGGGACAAGCCCATGCAAAACAGAGTGGGGAAGCCAAACGCTGCCCTTCCAGCCTCTCTAGGACTTTTTCCAGTCACCCTGACTTCCTGCCCAGCCCCAGTTTCCTGATGCCGTCATCGAATCCCTTGAGGCTGTGTGCATGAGAATCACCTAGCCAAGGTTAAGATTGAGGTTCCCGGCCATACCTCCCTCCAAAGAGGCAGGTTCTACGTTTGGGGTTGGTCCTGGAATTTATTGTTTGCCAGGTACCGGGTGAGTTCTTGAGCAGGTGGGAGAGGTGCACACTCCGTGAGGTGCCAGCAGGTGGCTGGTGGGGAGAGCACAGACGCACACACCAGTCAGGGCTCGCACTGACCTTGGGCAGCTCACCTCATATCTCACCCTTTGTGAAAGTGAGGATCGACTTGGGACACGATGCTGGAGCTGGCCCAGCGCCACACAGGCAGCCTCCCTCCCTCACCCACTCTGCCCAGCCTGGAGCAGCCAGCTGGGCCTCAGGCTCAGGCCAATCAATGTCCTAAAGAAGGTGATTGTTTCCAGTAGAAAGTCACGAAGGTGTTAAATGCTCCATTTGGAAAATACAGACCCACATTTCCCACTGCTCAAACACAAGAGCATCTTTTGTGTTATTCAGTTAGCAAACATGAGGGTGCCCCGAGGGGCTTGAGGCCATGTCAGCCTCTGCTGTCCTGAAAAGTACTTTGGGAACATATATCAAAATATTTGTCCCTTGGCCCCAGTAATTAATCTCAAGTACAGAAATCGATTTAAGTGAACGGATGTCCATCACACAATTGTTTATAATGAAAAGCAATTGGGGTTGACCCAAATCTCTAGCAAAAGATGAATTTTCTATTCTATTTGGCCATTAGAACAATTTTGTAGTGGAGTATCGTGAAAAGGAAATCATGGAAAAGGGTGAGGAAGCCCTTCATGTATGGCTGTGGTCTGAATGCTTGTGTCTCCCCCAAATTCACGTGTTGAAATTCTAACTCCCAAGGTGATGGTGTTAGGATGTGGGGCTTTGGGAGGTGATTAGGTCATGAGGGTGGAACCCTCCTGAATGGGATTAGTGCCCTTTTAACAGAGACCCCATAGAGCTCCCTTGCCCCTTCCACCATGTGAGGGCACACAGAAGGCACCATCTGTGAACCAAAGAGCAGGCCCTCACCAGACACTGAGGCTGCCATGCCTTGATCTTGAACTTCCAGCCCCAGAACTGTGAGAGAGAAATTTGTGTTGTTTATAAGCCACCCAGCTTATGGTATTTTGTTAGAGCAGCCTGAATAGGCTAGGATGTGTGTAGAGAATCGTCTCCAAAGCAGGTTAGGAGAGGAAGCAGGGTGAGCAGCAGCCTGCCACACGCGTGTCCACCGTTGGGAGCCCACCCTGTGGTGTAGATGCTGTGACTGATCAGACATAGGGTACTGGTGATGCTGGCATCCTGGGTGGCCGGGGGCAGGGTGTCTAGAGGCAGACCTGGCACCATATGCCCTTTTGTTTCTTTCGGATTTTGAGTCTGAGAATGGTTTACCTATTTGAAGGATAAATACAATTTAAATTTTAAAAAAAGAATAGTGATTGCAAAGAGCACGTCACAACACAGATTCTTTTTCCCATGTCGAGTGAAAAAAATCAGAATGTGAACATCTATATTTAGTTTTTGCACAACCATATGAGACTAAAACTGTGAAACACAGAGCCAGGCAAATGAACAAGTGAGCTCTTATTCTTAGGAAAAAAGCCTGGAAAGAAAGATCCCAAAATAGTAACTGCGGTTATCTTTGGATGGGAGGAGTGATGTTCCTTCCTCTTTTGACTTTTCTGTATTTCTCAAATTTTCCATAACGAGAACATATGTATCTTTTCCACTTTTTATTATGCAAGTTTGTTATGCATGCTTATGGTGGAAAAAAGGCAGTGGCGTCCCCACCTCTCAGAATCACCCTCAGCAGTGGCTTTGGGTGTCCTCTCAGGGGCTTTTCTACATTCCTGTGTTTTTGCACTTAGGAATGTGTGGTGTCAATAAATTGCATTGTTCCCATTCTTGGGAACAAAAAAGGCAGTTAATGGGGAGCGTGTCCAGAGTCGGGGGGCTTGCTGGGCCTGGCCGTGCTGGGCCAGGCTGTGCTGGGCTGATGCGTCCCCTCTGGTCCTCACAGGAGCGCTGCGTGGCAGCCCTGGCCCGGGTCGAGCGCACCGACTTCCTGTCACCCATGTGCATTGGCGAGGTGGCTCACGTCAGCGCGGAGATCACCTACACCTCCAAGCACTCTGTGGAAGTCCAGGTCAACGTGATGTCCGAAAACATCCTCACAGGTAGCTTCCAGGTGTTTGTCGCCACGCCACCTTGTCTGGGCACAGTGGCAACAGCGATCATAGTGACAAGGGCAGTGGCCACACGGCAGCTCACGTTTCTGAAGGGCTGACAGTGTACGAGGGGCTGGCCACTTCCCACAGGTGACCTCCCTTAGCTCCCACCCCACCCCCCGTGAGCAGGTACTTCCGTTACCTCATTTTACAGACAGGGAAGTGGCACAGACGGGTTAAGCAGTGAGCCCAAGATCACACACCCAGAGCAGGATTCAAACCCTGGCCTGGCACAGGGAGGTGTTGGTTCTGCAGACGATGCTGCCCACCCCGGGCCCCAGAAATGGGCTTAGAGAGAAATTCAGTGGGGCCTCTGCCTCCGGTTTCATTTGAATATTCTGCTCCTTGGCCGTGGTAACCATGGAAACCCCTCTTCCTCTTCCCACTCGGCTGCTGCGCTGCAGGAGGTGTGGCTTCAGGTCTCCCAGGCTCGCTTGCGCCTTTCCATATCTGGCTGGTGGTGAAGGAAGCCTCTTTGCCCGCCCTCTGGCTGCCACTGCCTTGTCCCAGGCCAGCATATCCTCTGTGGACACCCCCGTGCACAGGACAGGCTGGGTAAAGTGTTGGCTCAGCTGTTTCAGAGGCTCGAGTCTTCTTCCCCACGATGGGCCAGGGGCACAGTTATCCATCTGGAACATTCCCGTGACCTCAGCAGGGTTAGTGATTAGCACCAGCCCAGCTGCAGCACAACAACGTAGCTGAGTGAGGCCCTGGGTGGAGGGGTGGTCAGCATGTCTGTTTCTGTGTGACCACGGCCAGAGCTCTGGACGTGGCAGGCGCCTCTGGCATCAGAGAGACCCTTGGATGCTGATCTCAGGCTGTGGCACCAGAAGGAGTGGCCAGGCCCTCTTCCCACATCAGGGATGGCAGGGTGGAGTCCTTGCAGTAGGGGTCTGGGGATCTCCGTCACCTCCTGGGCGGCCCAGCTCTTCCTCTTCTGGGCTGTGCTGGGATGGGTTCTCTGCTTCTCCCGACCTTTGCGCTTATTTGTAGACAGCCACTTCTGCAGCATTGTGTTGTGTCGTGGGAGTCAGCAGCTTCAGAAATGGTGGGGAGGGGCTGCTTTACAGACTCCTCACCATGGAAGCCCCTTTTCTGGTACATCAGAAGTCACAGCCCAAGAGGAACCCCCAATGAACAGAGCAGCATCCTCACTGTTTGGGATGAGGAGAGAGGCAGGGAGACAGAAAGGTGTTCTCGGACTTTCAAAATGCTTAGGACCCCCTGTCCCCACAACAGACAACAATCCAGCCCAAATGTCAATAGTACCGAGGTGGAGGAACCCAGCCTGGGTCGTGGACTTTCTCTGCCTGGCAGCTTCTGTTGGCTCATAACAGACGTAGCATCGATAATTGAGGGGGTGAAGGAAGGTCATCGGGGAGGTGGGCTTCTACGCTGAGGGATAGGAAACTGACAGGGCTTTGGCTACAGTGCCATGATCAGACATATTTTTAAGGATCCTTCGCACTTGGGGGGTAAGAGTGGACAGAGAGGCAGGAGGCTCTTAACAATGGTCAGTGTTGGCAAGAGAGTGACCCTCCGCCCTGCTGGCAAGGAAGCTTCTTGGCGGCTTTTAGCAACAGAGCCAGGTTGCGGCCTCCGTTCTCTCTCCAGACCTCAGCCTCTTCCTTAGATCGTGGGGCCAGGGCAGTGGGGCTTGGAGCCCGAGGGCTGTGGCTTTCCTCCACATCTTGGCCGTCTTGCCCCAGAGCCGCTGCGCAGGGCTGTGCTCAGCCTTCTTACTCTGATGCAGTCTCCCTCTCATCTCTCTCCTCCTTCTCTGCCTGTCTCTTGTCTCCATGTCTGCACAGCTGTTTCTCTGTTGGTCTCTCTGTCTCTCTTTCCACATTGAATCTGCATGGATCTCTGTTCTCTCAAGGCCTTTCTCTGTCTCTGTGTGTCTCTGCCAATGTGTCCGCTGGAAGGTGGGCCTAGGAGGGCCTGGCCTGTGGCCGCATGGTCCACGTGGTCGCCCCAGCACCAAGACAGTGCTTGGCCCATTGTGAGCACTCAGCACACCCTGGCGGAATGGGCAGGTTATCTCTGAGGGGGGCAGCTGAAGACTGGAGTGAGGGGGCAGAGCACATGTGCAGGGCTCTAGCCTGGACAAGGTGGAATCATGAAGCTGTTTGTGGGATGTCTCTCTCCAGGAGGCAGGGTCCCCCTTCTGTGCATCCCCCTCGATGCAGGCTGTCACGAGGCAGCCAGGCGAGCACATGCCCCGGCAGCCTTTGAGACGCTCATTCATTGCTGGCGACTGTCAAAATATTAAGCTAACTGGGATGTGATGGCTGCGAATTGCTCCAGAAAATAAGTGGAGCCCTTAGGTTTAAGAGGGATGCCTCCAAAGCTGCAGTTCTCTTTTGATGGTTTTATTAAATAATGGAGAAAGTACAATTAGCATGTTTGCCTCATTTGCTCCACGGTGTGTGTTTAGGTCTGGAAGGCCAATTGGGTTTCCATGGAAACCGGCTTGTCAGGCTGGCTCTGGCTGAGTCCAACAGGAAATCTTTATTCCCAAAAGCAGGTTGTCAGATTCGCTCTCAGTCAAAGTGTGGCGGAAACGTTTCCCCGTGTTATTTGTCTGTGCCTCACAAGTGCAGGGAGCCGCTGTCCTGATGGACAAGTCCTGGTGTTTGCAGCGGGGTGGGAGCCTCTTGTCAGTTGACCTCCTCCTGGGATTTGACTTGGTGCCTGGGGCTGTTTAGCAAGGAGAAGACAGCTAGGGAAGGCAGGTTAGAGGTAATCGGTAGGCAGGGAGCGCCTCCAGGGGCTTTGGGGGCTCCTGGGGCTCTCCTGCCTCCCCACTTCCTCTGTTATTTCCCACAATTCCACTGTTCTACTCTATGTTGAGAATCTTCCATGTTGAAGAAGCCACTTTTTTTTTTTTGTCTTTTTCCGTGTCCGGCAACGGATTGCAACCCTCAGTGTCGCCCCCGCGCCTCGCTCAGCCAGTGAGCGGGAACCGGTCTGTATGTGGGATCCGAACCCTCGGGCGGGAGCGCAGCCGCGCTTCCCAAGCGGCGCACTATCCAGTGCACCACCGGGCCGGCCCCGAAGAAGCCACTTTTTAAAGGCATCCTTGCAAATACTTCTCTGACTGGGACCTGGGAGGCCTAGGTCTATGCTCAGAATGGCACTGAATTGCTGTGTGGCCTTGGGTAAACTCCTTAACCTCTCTGGGCTTGGATCCTCCTATACAGGTGAGGGGCGTGGACTAATGACCTCCAGGCTCTTTTAGTGTCAGCAGGCCACAATCCCTTGGCTCTCAGCCCATGTGAGCCTCCCTGCCCAGACAGCCTTGCATGGCTCAGTGGCTGGGCTCAGGCCCCAGGGAGTCAGCAGCCCACAGTCTGTCTTTCGGCACTCAGAAGCTTCTGGATTGGAGCTTTGAGTCAGCTGGCAGCAAATCCAAGTGTCTGGAGGGAAGGAGAGAAGGCTGAGGAAAATTCCTGGGGTGGCGAAGGGGAGGCTTTGATGAGCTCACGCCACGGCTCTGTGCGTTGTCTGGGCTTTGGGTCGCTTGGGCGTCCCTCCTCCCCCACCCTCCAGGCCTCCGCTGAGCACGTCTACGTGGGCTCCCTGTCTCTGCGGGCTTCCCTATCTGACGGGAGTTCTCGGTAGAGTTTAGACAGGTAGATGGATCTTCCGAAGACCTTGCTTGTCTGAGCATTAGGACATCAAGTTCCTCAGCAAGGTGTTTTGGAGTTTGACGGTCGTTGTCAGCTGTGAGCTGTTAGGGGAGACCTGAGCCAGGGAGGGAAGTGGGCTCAGCCTGGTGCTCCCCTACCACCGCCCTGGCTGGCAGGGTGCAGGGGGTCCTCGTACAGCTAATTGGCCCTTCCTCTCTGGGAGGCTCATCAAGGCTTAATAGCCAAATTCGCTTTCTGTCAAAACACCAGGAAGATGAGATTGCCTAGAGTCGGGACCCCAGGGGCAAACCCCAAGTTGGGAGGCCCCCACAGCCCCCGGACCGCAGCTAAAACCACATGGTTAGAAGTCTTCCAGCAGCCTCTGGAAAGGGGCACCTGCCCCGGAATGGGTGGTGTTGGGAGGGGCTGAGATCTGGATTCTGGCCGGTTGGTGTGGGGGAGCTCAGGGATCTCTGGTTCTCTGTCTGCACTCACATTATGGCAGCAACCCTATCCAGGAAGTTGAAAAAGGCCTTGAGGGCCGGGGGCCAGAGGAGGAGGCATTTCGACTGCACCTGCCCCATGCCTGGCCACCCTGACTCTCTCCCCAGGGCATCACTCACATGCTTTTTTTCTCTTAAGGTAAAACCACATGGTTAGAAGTCTTCCAGCAGCCTCTGGAAAGGGGCACCTGCCCCGGAATGGGTGGTGTTGGGAGGGGCACCTGCCCCGGAATGGGTGGTGTTGGGAGGGGCACCTGCCCCGGAATGGGTGGTGTTGGGAGGGGCACCTGCCCCGGAATGGGTGGTGTTGGGAGGGGCACCTGCCCCGGAATGGGTGGTGTTGGGAGGGGCACCTGCCCCGGAATGGGTGGTGTTGGGAGGGGCACCTGCCCCGGAATGGGTGGTGTTGGGAGGGGCACCTGCCCCGGAATGGGTGGTGTTGGGAGGGGCTGAGATCTGGATTCTGGCTGGTTGGTGTGGGGGAGCTCAGGGATCTCTGGTTCTCTGTCTGCACTCACATTATGGCAGCAACCCTATCCAGGAAGTTGAAAAAGGCCTTGAGGGCCGGGGGCCAGAGGAGGAGGCATTTCGACTGCACCTGCCCCATGCCTGGCCACCCTGACTCTCTCCCCAGGGCATCACTCACATGCTTTTTTTCTCTTAAGGTACCAAAAAGCTGACCAATAAGGCCACCCTGTGGTATGTGCCCCTGTCACTGAAGAACGTGGACAAGGTCCTCGAGGTGCCTCCTGTTGTGGTAAGGTGACCCCCTTTCCCTGCCCTCTTGGATGCATACAGTGGAGGCCAGGTCACCTCGTGTAATGGCAGGAGGCTCATTCGGCCAAGGGGGTGCCCCAGGGTAGCAGCACTCCGGGACCACGGCATTGTAGGCAGTGGGTCCCCTGGATGGGTGGGACGCCCGGTCCTGCTTCCAAGGAAGTGTCAGTGGGGAGGAGGTGTGTCCGTGCGGGATCCTCTAGTGCACGTTTAATTCCTGCTGGGAACACGAGGGTGGGCCGGCCCAGAACCTGTGGACATGGGCATCCCTCCACCCCAGAGGACCTTCACGTTACACTTCCTGGCCAGAGTAAAGGCTGGTGACGGGGCCATGACAGGTGATGTCCTCCTGCCGAGAATCAGGACCTCCAGGCTGCCTGGCTCGGGCCAGCCGCCCCCTGCAAGCTGGTGGTTATCTGGCTCCTGATGCAGTGGTGTTAAGACATCTCTGATGTGAGCCTTTTCTCTTTCTTCCTCCTTGTCCCTGCTGGAGTCCGCCTCCTCCCCCTGGGTTGCTCTCATCGTGGCTTCACTGAGGGCACAGCGGCTCTGCGTGAACCTAGTTCATTGCGTTCATTCCTGGGGCCCCGCTGCAGGCAGGCTCTGTGGCTGGGCCTGCGGAAGTGCTGCACGCTCTTGTGGGATGAAGCGATTTAATTCCTTCCCTAAAAGTCCTCCCTCGCCTCCTTCTCCTCTGCTGACTTCCGTAGAGATTCCCGGGACAGGTGTGGCTGGCTCCTCCTGAGTTCTGGCCACTGCATCGTCTGAAGGCCTGGCTTGCTGCGCACCCACCTGCCAGCAAAAATCATTTGTAGAGGGAAGCAGCAGAGATCGCGTGGCTTGCAGTGTCTGTCCCTAGGAGGGAGCGTTTTCCTATGGCCGAGCCGTGTGCAGAACATAGCCGACAAGTAATACAGCTGAGCCGGGCTGTCGGGAGTGGCTCCCCGCTCCCTGTGCTCGCAGGTGCAGCAGCGAAGCCGGCCACTCCTGACCCCTCTTTGGTGTCCTCCCCTCCTCTCATGGGGTCCGGCAGGTGCAGGGCCCTTCCCCACTCATGAGAGGCCCTGCTCTTCATCCGCCAGCCTTCCCAGTGGCACTGGGAACCAGAGACAATGGGGACTCATTCCCTGCTGCTACAGCAGATGTGAGACTGGAGGGGGCTCCCTGAGACTGGCTTCCTGTCATCTCTCCCTGTCCGCAGCTCACAGTTTGGTCCCCCAGGAGGGCAGTCAAGGCCTGGGAAGGGCGAACCCCCAGATGGGGGTGGCTGACTGCCGGGTCCAGATTTTTTTAAAAACCGTGGTGACAGGAATCCTCTCCATGTTTAACGGGAAGGGCAGTTAGACCTCGGGCTGGGTCGGGTTGGGGACTGCATCCTTTGGTACCGTAAGAGCAAGGTTGTGAAGATCAGCATCAGTGGATCTGCCACTCCACATGTGAGGGGAGTGGGCGGACCTTAGCCAGATGGGCCCACGCGTCCTGCCTGTGTCAGTGTCCTGGGGCTGCTGTTACAGAGCGCCACAGACGGGGTGGCTCTAAAGCAAAAGAAATTTATTCCCTCATTGTTCTGGAGGCCAGAAGTGTGACATCAAGGTGTGGGCAGGGCCCTGCTCTCTCTGAAGGCTGGAAGGAAGGAGTCTCCTGTCTCTGCAGTTTCTGGTGGCTGCAGGTGTCCCGGTTTGTGGCCGCATCACTCCATTCTCTGTCTTCACGTGGTCTTCTGCTCTGCTCTGCTGTGTTTCCACATGGCCTTCTTACGAGGACACCAGTCATCGGAGTGAGGGCACATCCCACTCCTGTGTGACCTCATCTTAACTGCTTCCACCTGCAGAGACCTTATTTCCAAACACGTGCACGTTTGGCCGCTCCAGGTGGACGTAGATTTTGAGGGGACATTATTCAACCCCGCGTACCGCCCTCCATTCAGCACCCTGGCCTTGCTCCCTCCTGCCCTCGCTCCCTCCTGCCCTCTTTCTCTGTCACTCTGCCAGGGGCTCTCCCCTGCTCTGGGCTAGGAGCGACGTGCTGTTGGTTCTCAAGCAGCACTGACTGGGTGGGGTGGGCGGGTGGACCCAAGGAGCAGGAGTAGGTGAGGGGCACAGTGTTCTCTTCAGAAACTGCGAGACCCAAGGCCATCTCTCCCTCCAGGCCCTTGGTGTTCGGTTCACCACATCACATGTAAACATTCAAACACAATTATTTTAATTGATATAATTTTCAGATGCTATGAAATTTGGAAGTCTCTAGTAGGCCCGTGTCTGGCTTTGGCATTGTGTGACAGTCTAAGTGGGAGGTGGCTGGACTGAGCCCAGCAGCCGATGCTGCCTCTCTGCTCCTCAGGCCCGTGTGCCCTGAGCACTGGGTCTTTGGCCAGTGGTGGGGAAGGGGGCTCCAGACTCCCACCTCCTGTGGCCTCACTGCAGGGACAGGCCGCTCACAGCATTGGCCCTCTGGTCCCTGGCTCTCGGCCCAGTAATGAGCACTCTCCCTCCCACATCCTGGAGGAGTCCCTGGTAGCTTTCTCGTTCCCTTTGTGTAGTGGGTTTGATGAGACATGAACTTGGCCCTCATAAAGGAGTGTGTTGAGACTGTTCCACTGAGCTGGGGCAGAGAGCACTGTGGATGGGTGAAGTCGTGAGCTCCCAGCTGCGGTTGCTGCTAAGATTTATCTGAGCTCTCTCCTGCCCACCCCCGTCTCCCGCCCTCCGTGCACGAGGCCCACAGAGTATAAACCTCCAGTTGATTTGGAATATAGGTCTGCTGATTTCATTGGCCGGGCCCAGCCGGAGGCCTGCTTAGGGATCCTGGAAAGCACAGCTTCCTTCTCTGGCTCCAGTGGGTGTTTATGCCCATCTGCTGGCAGCTTGGCCACAAGGCTTTCTCATGTCCTGCCAGTGTCCTCCTGCCAACCTCTTCACAGGCAGCTGCCATTTATTTAAGAAAGCATTCATTTCCTGTACATACATGTAATATTTATATACACACACATATACATATACACACACAGACATCACACACGTATACATATGGATGTCTCTAACACACACACACACACACACACCACACACACACACACATACACACACCACACCACATACACACACACACACACACACACACCCCAGTTTCCTGGATGTGTACATCTCCCTGGAGAAAGCCCGGCTGCCGACCCTGTGCCGTGACAGTCAGTGTAGGACTCTGTCTCCTGTTCCACCTTCTACCCCATTCTGCAGGGGCTGCTGCTTTCCCAGGGCACAGGGATCCTCAGTGGCCCTATGGTGGGAAAAGAGACCACCTTGTGACTGGAGGCGCAGCCCAGCCCTGGAGAGGCTGGAGTGGCATTGGAGGATGGACACTTGGGTTTTCCCCATGTCTACATTGTGCTTGAGTTAAGAGGGTCACAGACCATTGTCTTGGACATTTGGGCAGCACTGTCTGCTGCTTCAGATCATCTGGGTTTGATGACCCCGGGGCGTGTCAGGTGTGCGCAGTGTTCCAGTGGTCTCGTTCCCAGATTTAAAGGCAGTGCATGTGAAGAGGCGGGCTTCTCTGTCCTCGTGCCTCGTGCCTCGTGTCCAGGACCAGGACCCTATCCCCTCGCCCTGTGCCCATGGCTCTGACGAGGGCACTGGACACCACGAGGAGTTATTAGACCAGGAAAAAAAAAAACTCATTAAAAGGCATTTCTCGAGTAACCTGAAGGCACCGATTTTACTGGGTAGACACAGCACAGACTCTGCTCTTGCAGGCATTACTTTGAATGGTGAAACATTGGGAAATAGTTTATTTATGGATGAAAAGATTAAATTATCCACTGCAACTTAACACATTCCCCATGGTTTGTTTCTTTTGAACAAACCCTCCACTCCCTTCTCAGCCTTTTTTGAAGATGTGTTCTTGAGCCAAAGAGGATGGGTAATTAAGCCCTGGAGTGGCGTTCAGGCCTGTACAGTTTGGGAGCTGAGCCATGAGCAGGAAAATTGGGACATTTAAAACCGGCTTTTGAAAGAAGGTCTAAAAACTGCCGCCTGAATGGATTTGCTTAGGTCAGAGGGGCTTCAGTGGGGGGTGGAGAGGAGTCCAGAGGGGCTCTGATTCTGTGGCTCACACAAGCTCAGCCAGAATTTTTTTTTTTTTTTGGCTGGCACAGGGATCTGAACCTGTGACCTTTGTGTTACAAGGCTGTGCTCTAACCAACTGAGCTAACCGGCCAGCCCCCAGCCAGATATGTTGGTTGAATGAATGAAAGATCAGAAGCTGAAGCTGACCACAAGGGGATGGCCAGACATGGTCAGAGGGAAGCTTGGGCTGCGGGGCAGGGGACTGGCTCTGGGGACAGGAGGGGAGTGGACAGACACAGGGCCTGTGGCTCTGGCCTGGGGCCAGTAAGCAGGACCCCCCGCTGAGAGGTCCCATGGAGAGGGAGTACAGGAAGTGGGTACAAGAGGGCAATGGATGAGCCACTGCTGTTACGTCAGAGAAACTGGCATCCCCCGATGTGCCAAGACACAGGAGCTTTGATTTTTGTGCTGTGTTTTGTATTCACCTTTATTTTAATTTTGTGAGTAAAGACCCCCGTGATCCGTTAGGAGAGCCTCAGGGGGCTGCAGTAGCTTGGGCCACCCGTCCTCTACAAATATGCAGCCTGTTCCTTAGGCAAGGGTCAGCACAGCAGGCACCTAGGGTCGGGACACTCGGAACCTGCTCTCTTGTGGCCTTGGGATTCTGTCATTTTGTCCTAGGAAGGACTGGGATAGGTGCAGAAAGATAAGAAGTGGCTGAGGATTGTCAGTATGACAGCATTTTGACAGTGAAACGTGGGAGCAAGCTACACGCCCATGCATGATGGATTGTTACATAAGTTACTGTACACCGGTGCAGTGAGGCAATGAAACACTGTTGCTTTTAAGCTCCACACAGAGCATGATAGGACTTCCTATGTGTTTGCAAGCATAAAAGCAATTCCAGGAAGCAATTCCAAGCTTTTGACCCAGGTTATCTCTGGGGAGTGAGACTGTAATGCAATTTTTACCTTCTTTGTAATCTTATCACTTATATTAAATATATGGGAGTGCTTCAAAATGTTTATGGAAAGATTTATATGTTTTTATTCTGTTTGTCCACAAACTTCTTGAAGGACCCTCATATGTTATCAGAAAAAGGAATAGATAGTTCCAATTATAAAAACCTAGCCCACAGCCCTGAGCCTGGGAGGCTGTGGCCATGCCCGGCAGGGGAGGAAGGCCGTGTCCCCGCCGTGGGCCTGACCCTGTGTCTGTGGTTTCCTGCAGTATTCCCGGCAGGAGCAGGAGGAGGAGGGTCGGAAGCGGTATGAAGCCCAGAAGCTGGAGCGCATGGAGACCAAGTGGAGGAATGGGGACATTGTGCAGCCCGTCCTTAACCCAGGTAAGAGCAGTGGGGGTGGGGCTGACATGCCACGGAAGGTGTGTTCCCCGCCACCAACTCGTAGGAGTCAGGAACGTGGCTGGTTCATGGTCGTCCTCCTTTTGGGTCTCCTGGAACTAGGTTCTCCGGGTTCCTGGAGGAGGACTGTCCCTTTACCTTGCCCTGAGCCGTGCAATCCCCTTCCCAGGATCCCAGGTGACAGTGAGAATGTGACATGAGCGCACTCCATGAGTCCCAGGAGGCACCACCATGCATGGGGCCCTGTCGCCTCAGCAGAAACACATGCCGGTTTATGGAGAATTCGTTTTTGTTGTATCTTTCCCCCAAGTTCGCTCAGGAGCTTGTTTTTGATGGGGTTTCTAGCTCATGGCAGCAGCTGTTTAAGTGTCTTTTCAGGCAGGTGTTTGACCTGCTGGGTGGCCACAGGCTCTGTGGTGCACGGGGATTTACTCACAGCACCATGACCTTCCACTTGCTTCCAGTCCATGTGGTCCAGCATTAACCAAGTGTCCATCCAAGACCCAAACATATGGGTTACGGGATGTTTTCCCTTAAGAAAGGATTTCCACACCGAACTCCCCTGGTTCACAGAACAATTCAGAGCAGGGGTCTCATGGGGGTCTGCCTGGTAACATGCATGACCCCTTTCCTTCTGCACACATGATGATCACATTTTGATATTGTTGAGAGGATTCTTTCTAGAAGATTCTTTCTAGAAGATTGTCTGTGCTTTTCTGCCTCACTTGCAATGGTCTGCCCTCCTCGTGATGCACATGTTTTCCATGCTGGGTTCCACAGGGCAACTGTGGGGCTAACTGGGGAGGGTTTGCTGCCCCCCGCCAGTTCCTCAGGGCCCTGGATGTGGGGTGCCTGAGCTGCTCATGTGGCTTTCTCTAAGTTCCAGCTCCACCCTGGGCAGCTGTCTGAGGACCTGCCCCGGTGATCCCTTTTTCTCTCTTGATGTTGCTGCTCCGATGTGCCTGTGCCATGGGCTCCTAGCCTTGCCCGGGAGGTGCTGGCTTGTGCTAATATGGACTCAGGACGTTGTCCCAGCCGCCCGCCTGGCTTCAGTCCACATTTGGCACCGCAGGGGACCGTGCAGCCCCAGCAGGTGTGCACACTGGGCCATGGTCTCGCTTAGCCCTGTTGTGTGGCGGACGTGGCTCACTTTCTCAGTGGCGTCCTCTGAGTTTCTAGCAGGAGTTCGCACATCCTTCTGTCTCAGCTTCGTCTCTCCCTTAGCCTCCAGCCTTGACCTGCCAAAAGCAGGACAGCGATGCCTCAGGCCAGGGGGACTGCGGGGGTCGGTTTCTTTAGTGCTGGTAAAACTTTTAAGTTGGCTTCTTTTCACCTCTGCTTTTCAACACACACCAAAGAAAAAGAGAGAAGAGAAAGGAAAAGAAAGAAAAAATTAATTGGTGTTAATTAAATTAACTGACACTGGTGTGTTTCAGTGTCTGTACAAAGAATGTTGCTGTTTCAAGGAAATCCCAATGAAGTGTAGTATGTCTTAAAAAGAAAATATGGAAATGACTTTACTAACATAGTAATACTCAGACAGGCCTGGGGATCTCTTGTGATGACTTGGGGGTGTCAAGTCCCTGTCATGTGCAAGGCTCTGGGGCACAGGCCACAGGCAGTGACCACAGTCCCTGGGCTCTGCTTTCGGGCGGGCAGCCCAGCGGGCAGGTCAGACAGAGGCAATGAGGACTGTGATGTGACCTGAGGGGAGGTGTCTCTCAGGAAGGTGCCAACACAGTGCTCAGCATGTTCCTGGGGGAGACAGGCTAGAGGGGGATTGAATGGTGGTCCCCCCCAGAAGACATGTCCATGTCCAAATCCTGGAACCTGTGAATGGATCCTTAAGTGGAAAAAGGGTCATTACAGATGTAATTAAATTAAGGATCTTGAGATGAGGAGAGCATCCTGGATTACCCAGGTGGCCCTAGCTAGATCTAAAGGCACGTGTCCTTATAAGAGACAGAAGAGGAGAAGACAGCGTGTAGGCCAATAGCAGGGAAAGAGGACGGCGGAGGAGAGGTGCTGGGTGGCGGGTGAGAGCTGTCTGGACTTTCCGTGGAGGTTCCTGGGGAGGGCTTGGGGTAGAAGCCAGACACCGGTGGCTAGGGCAGCACCATGGCCTGTCTCTGGCTTTGAGAACCGTGAGATCAATTCCTGCTGCACTCCTTTGACTGACCGCCTGGGAAACTAAAATTACTTGGGGTTTTCAATTAGTTTAAATTCCTTTACTCATGAGATTATTTTTCATTTGCCATCTTCCATTTGATTGTAAATCTGATACGTAGTATTTTTCAGAATCTATTATTCTCCAGTGACGTTAATCAGAGGTGGCATTCTGAATCTCAGGTTTTTTGATAGATTTTTACGTGCTTTTATTTTTACTTTTCTGTGTTTTACAAAAATGCATCTTCCTTGGATGATTGGATTAGAGACTCAGGCTTTTAAACGCTTCTTAAGGATGTTGCTTACCTGTTCTTTCCTCAATCTTTGGAACACATCCTGCATTTCTGACTTCAGTTTCCTAGTAGAACTGGCATCACCTTGGCATGAACAGCCAGGGATGGGCTTGTCTGGGATCAGCCTCGTCCTCTGTGTGGTGGCTCAGCCTGAGCAAGTCAGGCTTGGCAGGGGTGGCCGTGTCCGCAGGGAACGGCAGCTCAGGGGAGAAGGGTGTGCATTTGGCATTGAGGGTCTCTCTAACAGGCAGAACACACGCTGCCCCTTCCTGGGGGAGGACCCCCCTATCCGTTGGGGGGAGGTTTGGCCTTTGACTGCCTCTCTCCCAGCCCTTCGTCCCCATGCCCACCTGTCTCAAATCATCCGCCCGATCTGAAACCAGCACTAGATTTCAGACTGTTGCCTAGCAACTTCCATGAGGGGCCAACCTGTCTTGTAGGTATCTTCTCTGAGGCTCTGTGAGTTCTGTACAAGACAGTTGTCCTCATTGTTTTTTCCATCCAGCAAGAGAAAATACAGTTACCTTGAGCTCTTCTGATTCATGGCAATCAATTGTCCAGCTTTGGCCATGTAGGGACCACTTGGTCATATGACCGTCTGTTTACAGGGCTGGCGGGTTTATGACAAAATCAGCTCTCTCTCAGATGCGCGTTCACACACCTTTCTGTTCCTTGGCCCTTTAGTTGGAAGCAGTGTTCCCTTCCAAGTCTGGCCCACTGCCAATGCAGCTGTGGCTTGCAGTCACCCGGCCCCCTGGTCTTGGTCGGGATCTGCCCTCCTGGGGTCAGGCAGTGCTCTAGCCAACCCCCCAGGCAGATCTTCTCTGTGCCATCTGTGAGAGTGCAAAAGCTGGTGAGCCTGGCCAATCCACCCCATGTCTCTGGCCATGTGGCCAGGTCCACAGTCCCGTTCCCATCAGCACTGGTCGGGGGCATGGCTTGAGGGAGGCAGGAGAGGACCAGGGAGGGAAGTAGGTTCTGGAGTTGTTCTGCCTGCCTTTGAGTCCCAACTGTGCTGCCTCTGTGGGGACTTCACCTCCCTGTCCCTCACTTTCCTCAGCTGGAAACAGATGATGAAACCACTCAAATCATAGGTTTGTTGAGGTGGTGGGATGATAAAATGCACATGGAGCATGAAAATAGCCTCTGTTGCATAGAACAGTCCCAGAAAAGGTGATTTTGTGTTTGTTTATGCCATGTAAAACCTTGCGCATTGCTACCCTGGGGACCTGACTCTGGTTCCCCACACCATTTTGAAAACGCAGGGTCAAAGGTGAGGCACTCTGTTAGTCGAGGTCATAGTAGCTGCTGCAGCAGATAAACCCTGAAATCCTAGTGCATAACTCAGTAGAGGCTTATTTCTTGCTTAAGTAAAGTCCAAATCGGGTTTTCCTAATCCAAGGTGGACTGCCTGCAGATGGTGGGGATTCTGGGATTCAGGCCCCTTTGGTCTTGTTGCTCCTCTACCTTTAATAGGTAGCTTTGGAGGTTACCATGGAAGGGGACAGAATGGGGAGGCTGACGTATTTGAGGTTTGTATGGGTCAGGCCTGGAAGCGTGTGTAGCTCCTATCCTCAGCCCTGTGGCAGGGCATGAGGGGGATGCGCACACAGCCCTGCAGAGGAGCCTGGTAAACATGGGCCAGCTGTGTGCAGAGGAGGGCGAGACAGGGTTGGTGATCAGTTAGTCATCTCTGCCTGGTCTTGCCCTCCAGTCCCCAAATCCCTAGTTTCATTCTTTGCACACCCTCAAGGGTGACCACCCAAAATCCTGTCCAGCCACCATGCCGACCTCAAAGCATCTTGGGTCATGTGCAGTCTTCTCCGACAGATTTACGTGCAATGCCTCGTGTCCTGCAACCACTAGACTAGAAAGACGCGTTATCTGCACTCGCACCCGTTCTGTAGTGGGGGAAGAGGGAGCAGAACAGACACACTCATCTGGGAGAGGGAAGAACTGGGGCTGCCCAGGAGCCCCTGGTCCAAGCAGTGATGGATCCTGCCAGGGCCTGACGCCATGGCCATGCGGGATGGTCCTGGATCAGACCGGATGCTGGTCTTGGGGAGGAATTCCACGGCCCCTGGCTCTGCCATCTGGAAGGTTCTTTCCTGTCTGTTATCCTGCATGGTCTCATCTGAAGTGGGCTCTGGGAATGGCGCTCATGGCCCACCTCCTGCTTGTCTAAGTTTGGGGACCCAGAGGTTACTTTAAGGCTTGAACAGAGAAAAGCTTCTTTAGTCCAGGCAGATTTGATCCCCTCATAAACTGAGTCGGCATCTGATCTGTTGGCTTCCAGTCAGTTCCAGCGGCAGCCACCACATCCCTGCCTTCTTTCCAGGCGCAGTTCTCAAGCTGGTGCATCCTGTTACTTTCTCACCCCTGCCCCCCCAGGCACACTCGGGTGGGAAAACCACATCTTTATCTGATTTTTGCCACAAGGCTGGGACTTAATGGGCATTTGATCTCAATGTCTTCCTCAGTCACTGGGTCTAGAAGCGACAGGCTTTTCCAGTCTTTTTTTTCTTTTTTTTTAAAGATGATCAGTAAGGGGATCTTAACCCTTGACTTGGTGTCGTCGGCACCACGCTCTCCCAAGTGAGCTAACTGGCCATCCCTATATAGGGATCTGAACCCTTGGCTTTGGTGTTATCAGCACCGCACTCTCCCAAGTGAGCTGTGGGCTGGCCCTTTTTCCAGTCTTTTAAAGTCCCAAATTTTCAGACTCTGGTCACTTTCAATTCTGCTTACAAACTGGCCAGTTTTTTCTTGAGATCATTTCTTTCTTAACCTATCTTGTCAAGAACAAAAAAATATAGGCTCACACTGGCTCTGGCTCTTTTCAGCCCCTTCCCTGAGCTCAGTAGGCATGTGTTTAGTGTGACCGTATGTTCTACTTTAAGCCAGGGTGTCCCCTTTGACTCTTGACAGAAAGGCTTTCATTTGGCCAGCGCCCCACTTCTTGTACCAGTTTCTATATTTGTTATGGCAACACTAGCAGCTGTCACAGATAACTCCCCAAATCTCTGTGGCTTGACCCTGTATGCACTCAGGCCCTTTCACATATTCCCTTGGTTCACCTAAGACACAGAACATGCCAGAACACAGAGAGGCCCTCACAGGACGATGGTTCCTTTCCTCAGGAAGGGCCTGACCCGGGGGCCAGGAACCAGACATGAGAAGAAAACAGACCCTGCCCCTACCCCGCAGAGCCCCGTGGAGCTGCGGTTCACGGCCGGGGAAGGTGGGCTTGGGGGTGTGTGTATGGGTATGTTTTCCTTCCCACGAGAAGTCTGGTGCTTCTGCTTATTAAGAGCTCCTCACTGCATGTTCTAAGAACTCTCCATTCTTACACGTGGCTTAACCTGTATTTCTAAAACTACCGCAGAGCAGTGGGGCGCCTCTTGGACGCGGGAGTCGCAGTTACTTCAAACCGCGCGTCATTTGAACGCGTAGGTATTTGATGTGACAGGTTTTTGTATGCAATTTCACTTAACTTTGAAATTTTTAAAAAATTCTTTTTTCATCCTCCACATGCAATTCTTTTAGCTGGCCAAGCAGTTCCTGATATTGGGCCAAATTTGAGGTTTTTGGTTTCTGTTCATGCTCGAAAATAGTTGTCTTTTACGAGCAGAACATGGAGCAGACAAAGGCAGCATAGAGGAGCCCTCGGCGTGCTGCGGGGCCTTTGTGCTCTCGGCCCGCCCTGCTGCACGGGGAGCCCAAAGGCCAGTCGGTTCTTTGAGAATCAGGGATGTGGTGGGCCGGCCAGCGTTGGCCGGGGCATTTCTCTGATGGCTGTGGTGGGCAGATGGATTTTGTCAGTGTCCTTTGTGGCTCCTTGGCTGTGCCCCTCCGTCCCATCTCCCCAGACAGGGAGGGAGGGCCTGGGGCATCCAGGGGGCCCCCGAGGCAGGCTATAGGCACGGCCCCAGCTGGGTGTGTGCTAACCAACAGTGACGTTAACTGCACGCTAGGGGCTTTGCCCCTGATCTTTTGCACTTCTGAGGAAAATTAGGACTGGGGAGAGCTGGAGAGGCAGGAGGGTCCTGGCCTTCTCAGAGCCTTTCTTCCCATTGTATGTAGCGTTTTGGGGTGCACTGAATTACCCTGAGGCCCAACGTAGTCTTGTACACTCTAGGCTGTCTTTGGACACCTCCTGGGAAGCCCGCACTGAAGTGGTGGCTGGGAGAACCATCATCCTCCCTGGGGTCGAAGCCACAGGTGATCTGAACTGCCTGCAGTCCAGCAGATGCCAGGGCACCTAGGAGCTCCTTCCCGGGAGCCTCAGGTTTGCCCATGTGCCCCTCACTCAGAGGTGTCAGTGGTGGCTGTTGGTTGGTTGTAAGACAGTGTCCTACATCCCAGCCCCAGAGGGTGGCAGACTCAAGGACCTCAAGCAGCCCATCCAGAAGGGTGGGCTGGATGGCGAAGTCCCCAGGACGGGGCTTCTCGGGAGGGAATCCTCTGCTCTGCCCCTGACTCCATAACAGGCTCCTCCTAAGTACTCTCCTTGGCACGAGGGTTTGCCCTGGGCAGAGCCCAAGGAAGGAAGGAGGGACCTCATGTGGCAGCCGACACTCATGCACAGTGTCCGGGAAAGAAGGCAAGGCGGGCAGGCCAATCATCAGAAGCCCCTGGTGATTGGGAACTGACTGACAATAAAAATGAAGCTCCCAGACGCGGCCAGGCCCCTCCTCGCGGCGAGCATCTCGGGCGCTGTCCTCTCTGCAGAGCCTCGCAGAGCAGATGCTCCACACGTGAGCTCCATTCGGGAGCCTCAAATCACTCCACACCGTGAGCCCACAAACAAACGCTCTGAATTTGAAATTAAGTGTTTAAGGTTCCAGCTCACCTGAATTCTGATATTGCTACTTCATGACAGCTTCAGGCAACTACACAGCTGAAATTCCACATGGAGTGCATTAGTCTGTTGGGCTGCCATAACAAGGTACCACAGACAGGGCGACTTAAACAGCAGACATTTATTCTGTCAGTCTTGGAGGCTGGAGGTCCCAGATCAAGGTGTGGGCAGGGTGGGTTTCCTCTGGGTCCTGTCTCTTTGGCTGGCAGATGGGTGTCTTCTCCATCGTCTCCCTCTATGTCTCTGTGTCCTGGTCTCCTCTTAGAAGGACACCAGTCATATGGGATTAGGGCCCACCCTAATGACCTCATTTAACTAAGTTCCTTCTTTAAAGATCTTATGTCCAAACACAGTCACATTCTGAGGTACTACAGGTTGGGACTACAACATTAAGAATTTTGAGGCCGGCCAGTAGCTCACTCGGGAGAGTGCGGTGCTGATAACACCAAGGCCACGGGTTCGGATCCTATATAGGGATGGCCGGTTGGCTCACTAGCTGAGCGTGGTGCTGACAACACCAAGCCAAGGGTTGAGATCCCCTTACCGGTCATCTTTAAAAAAAAAAAAAAAACATTAAGAATTTTGGAGGGCCACAGTTCATCCCATAACCTGGAGGAACACCAACGCCTCGAGGCGACAGTGGATACTTAGGAGACCCCATGTATCAACTTTTGGGTCAGGAACCACCCTTCCTCCTACCACCTTTTTTGATGCTGAGAAATGCTTCCTGTCCAAGGCCAGACATATCTGAAATGGAAGCCAGTCATTTGGCGCCCGGTGGGCCAGCTTGTTTGGCAGCTGAAGTCTTGCTGGGCAGGCATGGGCCACCCTTTCTGAGTGCCAGCCATCCCAGGCAGGAGACAGTGATGGGAGGCTTCGGGATGGTGGATGTGTGCACATTGGGCTGGGTCACACAGGTGTCTGCTCAGGGGACATGGATCGGTCTTACCTGCACCTGTTGAGAAAGGGAATGATGTCTTCCTTCTGGAGACTGGACTTTTATAATCTTTTTTTCTTCTAAGTGCAGCCTCTTATATATATTTCAGTAGCAGCACTGAGTGACTGGAGCTCCCTGAGGGATTTGCCGCTCCTGGAAGATTTGCAACGATGGAGCAGTGAATGGGGAGGGTGGGAGGGCTGGTGGAGGAAGGAAAGAGCCCACACGCCTTTGGGGGCTGCGCCTTCCTGGGCTGCTTCAGGGACTGAGGGTTGGCAAAGTAAATCACACATACACTGTTGGTGCTTTTTGGAGAGTTGGAAATGAAAGTCAGATGGATAACCACATCCTGGTGGAGGGTCACGTGCAACCCTGGGACCTTATAGCTGCGAGATATTTAGTGGCTGCCTGTGGCTTGGGGCAGGGCCTTGCAGGGATGCTGACGTCCCCAGAGACCCACTAATTAATCCTGAAAGCCTTCCGCCTCGCCAACTGTAGCCTGTTTGGAGACCAGAGTTTTCCTTACAGAAATCACATCTCAGTTGACGGCAGTCGGACGCCTTGGGTGACCATGCAGACGTTAGGGCAGTTTGGGCATCGTCAGGACGTTTGACTGCTGGGAATCAGTGTAAACCAATAGTAATCTGTCTCCTTTGTAATTCCAGAGCCCAACACCGTCAGCTACAGCCAGTCCAGCTTGATCCACCTGGTGGGGCCTTCAGACTGCACCCTGCACGGCTTTGTGCACGGAGGTAAGAGATGGTTGGCGCCGGCCACTGCCTTCCTCTCACTGGCTCTGCTCAGTCCCCCAGGGAGCCGCGCTGCCGCCTGACCTAGTTTAGGGCTTGTGTTAGTGAAGTATAAATTTAAACTTTTAAGAGGTTGCATGATAAATTACCAAAATACTGTTGGCGCCTGTTTTTCAAATCGAGATGGAAGGCAGATGGATGACTCTACATTCCGGTGGAGGGTCACACAAAACCCTGGATCTTATAGCCATGGGGTGTTTATTGACTCCCCACGGGTCAGGAGTGGGGCCAGAGAGTAACGTTGTGACCTGTTAACAAAGAGTGGCTCATTAAAAGTGGTTTTGCCTCTGATGTTCGCGTTTATTTCTTTCTTTGGTCAGATCCCATCTCAAACAGCACAGCCCTCGAAGTTCCTAGCTTAGGCTTTTCCTGAGTTTGGAAAACACAGCTGGAACACAAGAGCACTTAGCTCGAGTTTTGCGGAGGGACACTTCTTCCTTTTATAGTATGTAATTATTTTTAAGATTTAGGGCAAATATTAGCACATCAAACCCATAATTTCATGGATATTGTGTTTGGATAAGACTAAAGCCAACTTTAATAAACAAGCTGATTTGAAGAAGAGCATCAGGGAGCCAGTGGTTCAGTGGTCCAGGCCGTAGCAGAAGTCGTGAAGGAGGTGTGGGCGCGACGTGGGCGCGACATGGGCTCAAGCACTGCCGTGTGCTAGCTGTTCACTGTGCCTCAGGCATGGCGGGCACTTTGCACAACGCTGCTCATTCGTGCTCTCATTTCCAACCTCCTGGAGCACCAAGTTCTCCTTTCTTCTTCACTTAGAGAATTCCTATTTATCCTTCAAAACCCAGCTCGAAAGGCACCACCCTGTGCAGGTCTACGCTGATATTTCTACTAGGGACGCCTGAGAAGCAGGGACTGGATCTGATTCGGTGTGTTGGCCCCACACAGAGGCAAGGAGGCACTTTGTAGGTGCCCTTTGCATGATGTAGGGCTGCAGATTACATCCAGGTTGAGGGACAACAGGCCCTGGGCCTGTCAGAAGCAGATAGTGGGCCCTGATTTGAGATATACTTTTAAAGTTTGTTTCTTTTTTTTTAAACTCATTTCCTTTTGTGTTTGTGTGTTTTTTTGTTTTGTTTTGCATAATCATTTTCTTCTTCCACTAAATGCTGGCTGCAGTGCCCTTAAATCTGTTTAACTTAGGTCCTACCCGAGGGAGGCTCTACTTTGTAACATAAACAGTACTTTCCAGGCCCACAAATATTGTGACAGCCTGCGGATCTTTCTCCCCTGAGAGCAGCCATGGCCTCGTAGCATTTGCTGTTTCCTTCTCGCTGGCCCCCGTCCCCTCCACCCTCTCGGATTCTGGGCTAGGGAGCAGCCTCCTCCTGCAAGCCTAGCCACCCCGAGCCCAGGCTTGTGTAACTGCGAAGAATTGTCCTAGAGCCTCGTAGAGCTTCATTCTACTTGAAATTTCTGAAACTCTGAGGTCTAGGTTTTGCCTCTTTTGTCTACACATGGGAAGTTTTTCACTAATGTGGCATTTCCATCATTGCTGCCTCCTGGGCAGAGTCCGCTCTCCTAAGCCCACGTGCTGAGAGGTGTCAGCGAGATGCTAGGAGCGAGAGAAGTGTTGGAGAAACCCCTTAGAAATCTGCAGCATGTCATGTTCACTTACAGAGTCTGAGCTCCTTTATTTGATGTAGGCACATTTTCAAGGAGTGTTTAAGAAGTGTTGAAAATGGCTTTAGAACACTTAATGCTGTTTTAGTAGGGATTTTGTGCCCACGATTTATAAAAATATGCCTAATAATTTTACCAAACCTAATCATCTCTTATAGTACCTGGTAACCACCAGGAGCAAATGAATACAGTATAATGCTGTGTTGAAAACACCCGGGACTATGATTTTATTGTATTTTCCTGAAGAGTACACTGGCAAGAAGTGCCCTTAACATCATTTGAATTAAAGTCTTCACTGAACTGTGGTTCAGTAGACTCCAGTCACAGAGTAAAATAGATGAAATGGATGCTGATTTAGCCTTTACGTGGGTAATTCTGTATTGCGGTGTCTTTGACTGGGTGGCTGTCACACATTGGCCGGCCTTGGACTGGAGCGCTTTACACATAGCTCTTGCTAATGGTAAATTGGCCAGGAGACGTGGGGAAGGAAGTCTGGTCTCCAACCAGACACGCGCCCATTTCTCCTCTCCTGGGTGCATGGACAGAACCTCCTGCCATTAGTGGAGGGAATAGGAAAGATTGGGGATGAGCCGGAGGGTGCCGGGAGCAGTCGTTCCCCTGCTAGGAAGGAGGGCTGCCTGTGACTCGGTAGCTCGGAACTGAAGGGCATCGTGGGGAAGCGTGGGCCTGGCTTTGGGTCCCTGCCTTCCCTGAGTCCTGAGTGAGTCACGGTCCCCCGTTTCTCCTCCTGAAAGTGCTGGGCGTCAGTCCACAAAAGACCAGTTTCCTCCCCTTCTCCCCTTCACCCCCCACTGCCCCCATTACGTTGCTTGTACAGCTCAAAGGGGTGAGCGGCAGGTGTCTGCAGGGTCCACATCTTGGGTGGAGGAGGCTCTTGGGATTTAGCTGGTGACCCCGTTCAGGGCCGACCCCAGAGGATGCTCAGCACGCGTTCGCCGATTCTCAGCCTTCAGAGGCCTTGGCTTTTTCATCGACATTTCATTTTTTATCGCCTAAGTTAAGTATTTTACACTGAAGTGTTGTGTAGAAACAATCCAAAATGGCCCTTGACCGAACACAGCTGTGCCTCGTCCTCCCTTCACTCCCGCCTTCCCCTACCAGCAGCGTCCCTGCTGCTGTGTGTGCGACACAGCGCTCCCGTGTGCCCCTCTCAGGCATGTGGCTTTGTACACACTGTGCACTGCTGAGCCGGCGGGAGGGCCGTGGTTGTGTGCCTGGGTAGCTGTGTCGCTACAGTAGCTAATCATGGCCTGGATTCCCACTGACTTTGAATGTCCCAGTAAGTCTCTCCACCCTCTCCAGCCCCTCTGTAAAATGCACAGTGGTGCCTGCCAGGTCACTGCTCTGCGCCAGCCTTCCCTGGAGAGTCCCACCCTCTGTCCTCCGTGCTCCTGCACCTGCTCTAACCTCTCTGGGGTTGGATGCCCCGGTTCGTGGGTCTTCGATTTTCGTCCTTGCTGGTGTTGGTGGGTTTTGCCTCCTCCACTGGCTTCTGTGAAAGGTCATGTGCTAACTGGGATGAAGACACAGCTGCCCAACCAAACACCCAAATAGCGGGGGTTTCGACGACTGGTTTTTCCAATGTAGCCGTGTGGTTGTGAGAGATCCGGGGCTGCTGTGGCTGCTTGTGGTGCTGGAGACCCAAGCTGCCCCTGCCCTCTCTGGGTGGCACATGATGGCAGCCACAGGGCGGTGGGGGACATGCCAGAACCACATCCGCCACTGTGCTCTCTCCCCTTTCGCCAGTTCTGAAATCTTTTTTGTCGTCTTCCCAGGTGTCCGTAAGTGGTCCTTTCTCATGCTATTAAAAAATCTGGGGAAAAAATAAAAAACCAGAAAAAGGAGAACCTTGTTCCTACGTATTATGACTGTCCTTTACACCATGAGAGACCCTAAACACCAGGAAAGGGAATTGAGAAGCATTTCAAAGGAATGAGTCTCAGGGATGGTGGTGGCTCTGTTGGGGGTGGCCCGCCCACGGCCTCTCCAGCACGACACGCCTCTGGGAGCTTCAGTCACATCTCTCTGTGCTTCAGCCTAGATGTGACCTGGTTGGGTCCCCATCCCAGGGATGATCCGGCTTATTCTATTTGATTCTCTGGTTCTGTGCGAGGTCTTTAGAGCATGAGAGGAGTGGCAGGGTCAGGGGTCACTGTTTTAGAAAAGAGCCTCAGTGTTATTGATTACATTTGGTTCTGAAGGAACCACCTCTGCTCAGAGGTGGAAATCAAGGCCGGGCGTCCTCACGCGGAGAGGGTGTGCTTAGCTCACGTGGCACTGGGAGGCTGGGACGGGGCATGCTGCAGTGAACTGGGGCTAAGACAGTTTCCTGACCCTGTCTGATCCTCAGAAATCATCTTGGTGCTTGTTAAAACCTCAGACTCCCGGGACCTTCTCCCAGAGGGTTTGCCGCAGCAGGGCTGGGCCTGGGGGTCTGTATTTTAGTAGTGAGTGCCCGGGTGTCCTGATGACTCACAGCTAGAGTGAGTGTTTGTCTCTACAGATCCGGTGACCCTGTCCTCACACCCGTTTCCCTCGACCTCTTGAGAGCATCGCACACCCCTGACCCTGCCCTCCCTTGAAGTCCCCTCCGGAGTGTCACCCCCCCCACCCTCTCCAAGCCCACTGTCTTCTCACACTGTGGTGGGTGTCAGAGTGCCTGGGGGGGTCTGGGCACCTGCATGTTGTCATGCCCCCAGGTGGTTCTGCCCCATGCCCAGGGTGAGGGCCTCTGGGGGGCATCCCCTGAATCTGCCTGTTTCTCTTTGAGCTGCCCCTTGAGTGATTGTGCCCCAAGGTCTGTCCTCGGCCTCTTAACCCCCCTCACCCTGTTTCCTCCCATGAGCTCACCCAGTCCCCGCCTCTGTTACCGCCTCCAAGTGGCAACTGACAGATCTTTTTTATGTCCGGCTCCTGCGTCTCCCCAAGCTCCGGCAGCCTGTGGGCCTCTTTGCCGGCTGTGATGGCCCCGTGAACCTGATCTTTCTCCTGCTTTCCGCACGCGCCCATTCTCCCACCTCCTGAAGCTGTCATGTGAATAGTCCCCGAAACTGTGGACTGTGACAGCCGTAACTTAACCTCCCTGAGCCCCAGTTTCCTTTTCTGTAAGGGAGTTCTGAGGAGGGGGGTGGGGATTAAGTGAGATAACATCGGCACGTGGGGAGTACTAGTAAAGGTCAGTCATTTTTATGATTTATATTTTACTTACTTCATTAGTTTTATTATAGACAGAGAGGATGTTCTATACCATGAAAACCTCAGGCTTTCTTCTCATAAACAGT